TTAGCAACAAAGAACTTAAAAGCTTTATTGACATCATTAACTTTCAAAGACTTCCCTGAGGGCAGGTTTCATGGCCCCAGTAGATTTCAGTTACCCCTCTCTGCAACCCGTAGGCTGCTCCACCTCCAATCCAGCTTCCTGCTAATGTGCCTGGGAAGGCAGTGGATAATGGTCCAAGTACTTGGGCTCCTGACACTCACGTGAGAGATCTGGACAGCGTTCTTGGCTCTTGGCGTCTGCCTGGTCCAGCCCTACCTGTAGAGGGCATCTGGGGAGTGAATCACAGCATGGAGATTCTGTCTCACTCTTTCAAATAAATTATAAATACATAAATAATTTTAAAAACACTGGTTTAATATATATCATTTAAAAGTTAGAAATATAGAGAGGGAGAGACCTTCCATCTGCTAGTTCACGCCCCAAATGGCCACAACAGGAGCCAGGAGTTTCATCCAGGTCTCCCACAGAGGTGCAGGGGCCCAAGGACTTGGGCCATCTTCCACTGGTTTCCCAGGCCATAGCAGAGAGCTGGATGGGAAGTGGAGAAGTTGGGACTCAACCTGGCTCCCATATGGGATACTGGCACTGCTAACGGCAGCTTAACCCACTATGCCACAGTGCCGCCCCCAAAACACATCTTCTTAAAAAAGTAAAAAAAAAAAGGGGGGGGGGTGCGGGGCAGCGCTGTGGTACAGCGGGTTAACGCCCTGGCCTGAAGCGCTGGCATCCCATATGGGCGTCGGATCTAGTCCCGGCTGCTCCTCTTCCAATCTAGCTCTCTGCTATGGCCTGGGATAGCAGAAGATGGCTCAAGTCCTTGGGTCCCTGCACCTGTGTGGGAGACCCGGAAGAAGCTCCTGGCTCCTGCTTTTGGATCAGCGCAGTTCCGGCCATTGTGGCCATCTGGGGAGTGAACCAGCGGATGGAAGACTTCTCTCTGTCTCTCTCTCTTGTCTCTCTCTCTCTGTAACTCTGTCTTTCGAATAAATAAAATAAATCTTTAAAAAAAAAAGTACTTCCCTGGGGCAAGTGTTAAACACAATGGTTAAGAAGTCTGCATGCCACACAGGCGTACATGGGATCCACACCTAGCTCCCTGTCAACGTAGACCCTGGGAGCCAGGAGGGACAGCTCAAGTAGCTGGGTTTCTGCCACCCATGGGAGACCTGAACAGATTTTGGCTTCTGGCTTCACCAGGCCAAACCTTGGCTACTTCATGCTTTTAGGAAGTGAGCCACTGTATCGGACCCTATGAAACCCGATTCTTTCCCTCTGTTTGTCTCCATCTCTCAAATTTGAAAAGAAGGTTCCCCTATAACAAGGCCAAAGACACAGAGAAGAATCTTGAGTAATTATATTTCTTGAGATTTTTGTTTTCAAAGATTTATTTTATTTATTTGGAAGGCAGAGAGAGAGAGAGAAAGAGAGAAAGAGACAGAGACAGAGACATATATAGAAAGAGATCTTCCATCCTCTGGTTCACTCCCCAAACGGCCTCAACGGTCAGGGATGGGCAGGTCTGAATCCAGGAGCCAGGAGCTTCATCTGTATCTCCCACACAGGTGCAGGGACCCAAGCACTTGGGCCATTCTCTGCTGCTTTCCCAGGTGCACTACCAGGGAGCTGGATTGGAACTGGAGCAGCCGGGACTTGAACCGGTGCCCATATGGATGCTAACATTGCAGGCAGAGGCTTAAAAACCGTTATGCCACAGCACCAGCCCCCCTGTTTTTGTTTTTATTTTTAGCTTTGTGGGGAAATCCCTTAATATTAATTATGAGACAGCTCAGCAAAACCACAAACCAGACGAGGTAATTTATCTCACTACAGTTTAATGTTAAGACCTTAGCTGGGACTGAAAAGCTGGACTTACGTTGTCACTTTATTGAGTTACTATATTTAACATTAAATAAATTTAGATTTACTACAAACTTTGTTTCCTCATCTACAACATGTGGGCAATATCATACCTATCTTCAGAAAAAAGCTGTGATGATTGAAACAAAAAAATGTAAAACTCTTAGCATACAGTCTGACACATAAAAATGCACTCAAATTTTAGTTAGTGCTATCAAGAGAACAATTTTAACCATAATATTACAGCAGAGAATTATAGAATAGCTTACATTTTCTCCTCCTCTTCAGGAGGCTGGTATAACGCCATAGCAGTATTTACATTTTTATTATTCACTTCTTCAAAAAAAAAAAAAGCAACGACAAAACCTCATCATTCTCTCCACTAACATGTAGAAAAGTAGTATCAAATGAGTCCAGTGAGACCATTCAAGATAATCATCAACTCCAAGACAAAAAGGGCCCTATGAGGCCAGGTAAGAACCACAGATCCTTGAGAATCACAGAACACAGCCACTGCTAGAAGGCATGACATGATGCCAGGGCTCACAGCCCTGATGCACCTCCCACGTGCCACAGCCTCACCAGCCTAATCACAATTACAACAGAATCTCTACATGTGAGAGACTTTTTTAAAAACTCTCTGGATAACTAAATGTGAACCAAGTTTTAAGAAGCACTGGCTAAGGGCTGGCATTGTGGCATAGCAGGTAACACCACCGCCTACAGTGCCAGCATCCCATGTGGGTGCAGGTTTGTGTCCTAGGAGCTCCACTTATAATGCAGCTCCCTGCTCATGGCCTGGAAAACAGTGGAAGATGGTTCAAGCATTTGAGCTCCTGTCACCCACATGGGAGGTTGGGATGAAGCTCCTGGATTTGGCCTTGCCCAGCACTGGCCTTTGTGGCCATCTGGGGAGTGAGTCAGTGGATTGAAGATCCCTTTCCCCTCCGCCCTCCACCTCCCTCTCCCTTCCTAATTCTGCCCTGGAAAATAAATAAAAAAAAAAAAAAGCAGCAGCACTGGCTAAACCCTATCTTCCTCTACTCCAGAAGACTAGAAATCTGAGCAAGCCACTAATAAAAAATAATATAAATCTAGAAAGTTGTACCAACTGCCTTACTTGACACTACAAACCATATCAATTAATAATTCTAAAAGGGGATTTCTCCTATCAATATCTTCAAATTAGTACTTTTCTTCTACAAAGAGGGTAACTTCTGCCATGATAGTCTTAAGAATTTGCCTTAATAAAGAGACCAGAAATTCTAAAAACATGACAACACTAATCTCAAGATACTATACACACTGGGCAGAACTGTGTAATTCACTAAACCACTACAGTCTTGAAATACTCCAATACTGGATGTCTCCATCAAGAAAGTTAAATTTTTAGCTTATACATTATCAAAGTTGTCGCTCTGCATTTTCCTGGCTTTCAATGACATTACCTGAGAAATGAAGACATAATGAAATAACAAAAATTGAAGTACGTTAATTTTGAAAATGACCAAAGAATGGGTTATCACAAATACTTCAAGGTACTATTTACTGTTCTAAATTTGGGAAATATCAATTCATTATGAAAACAAAAACCAAAGCATACTGGAAATGGCTGTTAGCTAAACAGCCTGGTACAAATGGAGTAAGAAACTAGTTTTGGTTGTGGCCAACCCTCCTTCCAGATTGTTGTGCATTCAACTGAATAAAATGTTATTTTCCCTTTCAGTTTATGACCAAGGTTAATTTTTAAAACAGTAGAATAATTCAATGTATAAGCATAAATATAAATAATTGGTGCTCCTGAGCATAAACGGGTCAACCCCAAGCGAGCGACTGTACAAACACGCCCTTCCTTGTGTGGGCCACGGAAGGACTCTCAGAACAAAGATGCGAGTCCAAGACACAGACATCTGAGAGGCTCCAAAACACTGCTTCCATCAGCATTCCAGAGCGGCTACAGGCTACCAGGCCCTGCTAGTCTCCAGCAAAGCCAGTGAGCAGTCCCAGCTGGGCAAGAAAAGGCTTTAACTCCCTGGAGCCTAATGGTCTCAGCACAGAACAGTCAGTTTCTGGTACAGACTGAATCATGACAATCAAATGGTAATCAATCACAATCTCAAACAGAACTGCATATGCAATTATAGAATTTGGTATAAATAAACGCAGTTATTTACAAGTATTACAACCAACCTCAACATTTCTAGAACTACTTTCAGTGCTGTTCAACACTTGACACCAAATGAGCAACAGCAGCTTCCATGTGTTCTCTCTCAACGGACACTTGAGAAAGACTAAATTTCAATAACTGCTTTTAAATTCTCAAAATGCAAGCTCATATTTTTTTAATATACACATTCCACTTGACTTTACTTTCCTTATGCAGTTGTTCTCTCTCCATAGCTCTCTCCTCGCTCAGCCCTAGGATCCGATTCCTTCCAGACTTACAGGTCCACTTACAAAATAAAAGCACTACGGGCCCCACGGGACAATACTCAGCTGAGCAGAACCAGCAGTTTTCTTCACCATGAAACTAAGAAAACACACTGCCAACTACTTTTATTTTTATTTATTTATTTTTTTATTTTTTTAACAAGCAGAGTGGACAGTGAGAGACAGACAGAGAGAAAGGTCTTCCTTTGCCGTTGGTTCACCCTCCAATGGCTGCTGCGGCCAGCGCACCACGCTGATCCGATGGCAGGAGCCAGGTACTTATCCTGGTCTCCCATGGGGTGCAGGGCCCAAGCACTTGGGCCATCCTCCACTGCACTCCCTGGCCACAGCAGAGAGCTGGCCTGGAAGAGGGGCAACCGGGACAGAATCCAGAGCCCCGACCGGGACTAGAACCCGGTGTGCCGGCGCCGCAAGGCGGAGGATTAGCCTAGTGAGCCGCGGCGCCGGCCAGCCAACTACTTTTATTAGAACACAACTCTCATTCTTTATGTTACTTCAAAGTATCAAGTAATCTTTTTCCACTAAAAAACACACATGAAATAAATTCCCATTATTTTAAGAAAAAAAAAACTGTCTTAATTTTACTCTAGAAAGCATATCTTTCTTTTGAAAAAAAGTACATTATCTTTGGAGAATTGTTGCTTGAATAAATCTAACAAACCATGAGGCATATTTAGGAAATGAAAACCCACCTCTTCTCGCGTAACTGGAATCCATATCTTTAAATTGTGCAACAACAAAGTCTGAACACTTGAACAAAATACTCTCCATTATTTCTTCACGTTTTGGCCCTGAACTGGATTCTGTACTTTTTTCATGTGCAGCATCAAGTACCAAATCGCACTAAAACAAAGAACATGAGTAAATATTCAAATCACTTCTAAAATAAAATACGGTAGCAAGTCTCTAGTCCATCAAGATCCTCTCTCTCATATTCTGTTGGCAGAAGTAATCCCAAGAGAACATGACAGTCACATCTTGATCCATTTATCCATTCCATCATTCAAAATTCTTCACATTAAAATATGGTCTTTGTGGCTATGGTCTGTCTGAAGTGTATTAATACTGGTAAGGAGAAGGAAAAAATATGCTACTCCATCCTTCTTCAGGTTCATAATGCCTAAAAATGACTATAATATTTTAATAAGCATATAAATCAAGAACCAGCCCATAAATTAGTGTGTGAAATTGAACAGCAAAATTATACAAGGTGATTTTAAAAAACTGGAAAACACTCGGATAAAATGTTCTTTTACTTTTTTAGAAGAAAAACATATGATTTAACAAAGACATATATATGCAGCTTATGACTATAACTTGCTAAATCAGAAACTAGCAAACACTGTTCACAAAGCCATACAAACATACAGTAGTGAATGATTCAAGCTAACAAAACCGAAAAGAGTAAAAATTACCTTGGGACTGTATGTTTTAAAAACTCCTTCATATATACCTCCATTTTTCACTTGTACTTCACATTTGGATCCCTGAAAACATATAATTATATTTTTCAAAAATGCAATATGATACCCAATCATCAGAGACCTATATTTTCATTTTGCTTTTGAGAGTTCATCAAGCTTTATTCCATATAGGAAAGTTAGTGAATATCAGGTATTCACTGACAGAATAGAAAATTTCCCCATATTAACAAAACAATGAATTCTCAAAGTTCTACAGGAGGCTCTATTCAGTTTGTGGTACTTGAATTTAAATACTGAAGTTAAACACTTCTGATCCCATCTATTAAGTGACACAATAATACAAAAAGACAATCAGCCACTGACATTACTGTGTATACAGCAGGGCTATCCCAACAGGTACAGTGAGTTAAATTAGACTGGGCAGTATTCTAATCTATTTTTTTCTAAATTATCCTGATTAAAAATGACCTAAGAAATGTTACTTTGGGAATCATTCATCCATATTTTAACTTCATGCAATTATTTTAATCCACTCTCACTCAATGCAGTGTATCATCAATAATCTGATTACTTACAACAACTGATGTTAAGATATGAACCATCCTCATATTTGCATAAATTCCATCAAAAGAAATCTGGAATATTAAAAAGAAGCACTATCAGAAATTAGTGTTTATATCTAGATATTTGCTACAAGATTAAAGTTACATTTACAATACCTTACATGGCTAAAGATTTGGTTTACTGTAACCTTTTGCTTCCTTGAAAAATAGAAGTCAGGCTTTCAAAAGCAAAAGCAGTCATCCCAACTGATCCCAAACAATATTTGCATTATATACAGTACTAAAAAGGCAAAACTAAACCTCTATATATGAGGGAAGACAAAATTCACAGCAGCAGGGACAAATCAACAGTCAAAGGGGGGGAGGGTGTGAACTGCAAAGCAGCATCAGGGACTTGGGGGAGTGACAGACTGTTCTACACTCACCGTGCTGTCGGCTACATGACTACATGCGTTTGGCAGAACTCACAAAAATACTGCACACTTAAAAGGTGAAGCACACCTTAGTAAATCAACGAGGTGAGGAGTAAGGGCATTACCTTTGCAGACCCCTAACTTCCACGCACATCCCAATCAATGCTAGCGCTTAAGCACCTGCCCCACTCCACATCACACGCTCCATCAGCGGGTGTCCCCTCTTGATTCTCAGGAAGCCAATCTATTCAACAAAGGCAAAGCCTCAAAAATTAGCAACATCTCATCTTTTCTTTCACCACACGGATCTCTGTCCTCACATTCAGTTTAACTTCACTGATAAACTTCTGAAATGTCAGACCAGAAGGCCTTTTCCAAGGAAGAAAATTAAAGAGTAAAAAACACAGCATAGTCATTTCAAAATAAAAAGGTCAGAAACTCGGCAGACTCTAGATCTAGTGTTCTACTCATCTTCTGGGAGTTGCTCATTCAGATGTGCCTCCAGTCACTTGTCAAAGAACAGAGGGGCGGGTGTGAGTGACAGGCATCTGACTCAGGGTAAGTGAAGCCCAGCGTGGCACAGCATATCGCAATGCCTGGGTTCCATTCTTTATTCCAGTTTCTTGCTAATGTGCACCCTGATAGGCAGCAGGTGACGGCTCAAGTTCTTGAGTCCCCACCACCCGCGTGGGAGACCTGGATGGAGTTCCAGGCGCCTGGCTTCAGCATGGCCCTGCCCTAGCTGTTGTGGGCATTTGGGGGAGTGAATCAGCAGATAGAAGATCTCTCTCCCTCTGCCTTTCAAATAAAATGAAAGAATTAAAGAGGAACGATCGAAATAATTCCTAAGTATCATAGAAATATTACTTATAGATAATTTCATATTTTATACAGCCATCAAAAAACATTTAGCTAATAATTTTGTACCAAATAGAACTGATCTATAAAGATCATCTGTGGTATGAGGGCTGGCACCGTGGCTCACTTGGCTAATCCTCCGCCTGCGGCGCCAGCATCCCATATGGGCGCCAGGTTCTAGTCCCGGTTGCTCCTCTCTCTGCTGTGGCCCCGGGAAGGCAGTGGAGGATGGCCCAAGTGCTTGGGCCCTGCACCCGCATGGGAGACCAGGAGGAAGCACCTGGCTCCTGGCTTCGGAGCGGCGCAGCGCCAGCCATGGCAACCATTAGGGGAGTGAACCAACGGAAGGAAGACCTTTCTCTCTGTCTCTCTCTCTCTCACTGTCTATAACTCTACCTGTCAAATAAGTTAAAAAAAAAATCATCTGTGATGAAAGTCAAGAGAAGTTAGTTTCTTTTGGCTCTGGCATTGGACTATGGCTACAAATCATTGTTTAGCTACCAATTTTTCCAAATAATATTAAAATTACTCAAGTTACTCACCGTAGACTGAGGAAGTCCTTTGCTGCTGTTTCGACTTCTGAAAAGATTAAACATTATTTTTATTAAGTTCAATAAGGTAAATAAGCTAAAAAAAAAGTTTCAAATTTAAAGTATAATTCCATACAGACTATCTGTGGGGAAGTCTCATCTAATTCAAAGTCTAAAGAATTCCTAAGGGGCCAGTGCTGTGTGAAGCAGATAAAGCTGCCGCCTGCAGTGCCAGCATCCCATAAGGGCGCTGGTTTGAGTCCTGAATGCTCCACTTCCGATCTAGCTCCCTGCTATTGCCTGGGAAAACAGTACAGGATGGTCCAAGCCCTTGGGCCCCTGTACCCACATGGGAGACCCAAAAGCAGCTCCTGGATCCTGGCTTAGGATTGGCACAGCTCTGGCTGTTGTAGCCACTTGGGGAGTGAATCAGCGGATGGAAGACCCCCCCACCTTTTTTTTTAAAGATTTATTTACTAAATAAATCCAACCTTTATTGGATAATAAACAAATCCAATAAAGCCAACCTCCTCCTGTGTGTTTTAAATCAACTCTAGATTACTTACTATGCCTAATACAATATAAATGCAATGTAAATAACTGTTACACTGTTTAGGAAATAAAATTAAAATCTTTCTGCATTCAGTATAGACCCAATTTTTCCCCAAACACATGTCCTAGCTGCAGCTGGTGGAGTTGTGACTGCACAGCGTGCAGGCACACAGGGCTGAGTGCACAACCAAAATGTGTTCTGGAAAAGAACCGCCTCCTCAGAAAAGACGAAAGCATTAATAAAGTGAAATGTTGTATTTTTCATACACATTAGCCACTCTGGAACAATACAATTAAATCTCAAATAAAATAACACTCAAAGCAAGCCAAGATTAAAAAGCATTCAAGCAGTAGCACAGTTCAGGTCCAAAAGAACCCAGCAGCGGGAGTGGTGTCACTTTCGGCAGAGCAGCATTCACCCTGGCACTGAGGCAGTCCTAGCTCAATCTCCAACTTGTCACCGCCTCCTCTAGAAAACACGGCGTGGACCCAGTGACCTCTAAGTATTCTTGCGTTTCCCACCTTTCACTCACTCTGCCTCACACACAGCACAGCAAAACAAAATCCTACTCTAAGGAAGACGAACGATTAACTTGTCACGTGTACATGGGCCTGGCACTGTGGCACAGTGGATAAAGCTGTCACTTGTGACGCTGGCATCCCATATGGACTTGAAATGTCCCAGCTGACTAAAATCAGTCTTTTTTTTCTTAATGATTTATTTATGCGACCGGCGCTGTGGTGCAGCGGGTTAACCCCCTGGCCTGAAGCGCCAGTATCCCATATGGGTGTCGGTTCAAGACTCAGCTGGCTGCTCCTCTTCCAATCCGGCTCTCTGCTATGACCTGGGCAGACAGTGGAAGATGGCCCAAGATGTTGGGCCCCTGCACTCGCGTGGGAGACCCAGAAGAAGCTCCTGGCTCCGGATCAGCGTAGCTCCAGCCGTTGTGGCCATCTGGAGAGTGAACCATCGGAAGGAAGACTTCTCTCTGCCTCTCCTCTCTCTGTAACTCTGACTTTCAATAATAAATAAATCTTTTTTTTTTTTTTTTTGACAGGCAGAGTGGACAGTGAGAGAGAGAGACAGAGAGAAAGGTCTTCCTTTGCCGTTGGTTCACCCTCCAATGGCCGCCGCGGCCGGCGCGCTGTGGCCGGCGCACCGCGCTGATCCGATGGCAGGAGCCAGGAGCCAGGTGCTTCTCCTGGTCTCCCATGGGGTGCAGGGCCCAAGCACCTGGGCCATCCTCCACTGCACTCCCTGGCCACAGCAGAGAGCTGGCCTGGAAGAGGGGCAACCGGGACAGAATCCGGCGCCCCGACCGGGACTAGAACCCGGTGTGCCGGCGCCGCTAGGTGGAGGATTAGCCTAGTGAGCCGCGGCGCCGGCCAAATAATAAATAAATCTTAAAAAAAAAAAAACAAACAAACAAACAAACAAAAAAAACACAGAAGATTTATTTATTTATTTGAAAGGAAGAGTTAGACAGAGGCAGAGGAAGAGAGAAGTCCTCCATTCACTGGTTCACTCCCCAAATGGCATCAATGGCCAGAGCTGGGCCAATGTGAAGCCAGATGCCAGGAGCTTTTTTTCCAGGTCTCCCACACGGCTACAGGGGCCCAAGATCTTGAGCCATCTTCCACTGTCTTCCCAGGTCATAGCAGAGAGCTGGATTGGAAGTACAGCAGCTGGAACTTGAACCGGTGCCCATATGGGATGCCGGCACTGCAGGTGTCAGCCCCACCGGCTACACCACAAATCATTCAGTCTTAAGCAGCACAGTTGGTTTGTAAATCAGATGTATCTGATCAAACACCCAGGCTTCTCATTTCCAGGTCATGCTACCTCTTCGAATAAACTGCCCTCACATTTTAAATTCACGATTAGCCCAACCTAACCTCCTTATTTTTTCAAATATCATGTCAATTTTCTGTTTTCTGTTTAGTTGTATTCTGTACTCAAAGACCTAAAAGGCTAAGCCTTCCTGGAAAGATTATCCTAGTAACTCTGAAATGCCAGTTTCAACACTTGAACAAATGCCATTAAGTGTCCTTAAACTCATGTGGCCTTCGGGGCTGGCGCTGTGGCACAGCAGGTAAAGCTGCTGCCTACCATGCCAGCATCCCATATGGGTGTCAGTTCAAGTCCCGGCTGCTCCACTTCTGTTCCAGCTCTCTACTGTGGCCTGGGAAAGCAGTGGAAGGTGGCCGAAGTCCTTGGGTCTCTGCACCTATGTGGGAGACCCAGACAAAGCTACTGGCTCCTGGCTTCAGATCAGCGCAGCTCCAGCCATTGCAGCCATTTGGGAAGTGAACCAGTGAACTGAAGACCTCTCTCTCTCTCTCTCTGCCTCTCTGTAACTTTGCCTTTGAAATTAAATAAATCTTAAAAAAAAAGATGCTTTAACATTCCTTTATAGAAATCACACTACCTTCTTTTACTGATTATACTATTACCATCTTTGATTAATAAAGAGCAACTGTTTGACAATCAAGTTGACCTAAAATAAACTGTTCAACTGTGCAATTAGGAGACTCACAATGGCATGAAGTGGTACACAGAAACCACTGATTTCCACTGCTCTACCAGGTAGCTGGACATCCAAGAGCAATGTCAGCATACCAAAGCAGCATTCTCCGGAACTGAACAAAGCCCAATTTCTTTCTTTTTTTGGAACCACTCAGATTACGCTTTAGTTTTTAATTTTCTTCATTAGTATTTTGGACCAAAATTAATCCACTACTTCATATAGTAAAAGCTGAGTGCCCCTCATTCAGAATGGGTGGCACAGGGGCCAGCACTGTGGTGCTGTGACACAGTGGGTGAAGCTGTGGCCTGTGATGCCAGCATCCCATGAGCGCCAGCCCCCATCCCGCTGCTGCACTGCCGACCCAGCTCCCTGCTCATGGCCTAGGAAAAGCAGTGGAAGAAGGCTCAAGCATTTGGGCCTCTGCCACCCATGCAGGAGATCTGGAAGAAGCTCCTGACTTCTGCCTGGCCTAGCCCCAGCCATTGCAGCCATCTGGGGAGTGAACCAGCAGATTCGCCCTCTGAGTAACTCTGACTTCCAGTTAAATAAGTAAAGGCATAATATTTTGAATGTTTTCAAATTTGGAGTATTTGTACATATACAATAAAATATCACAGAAATGAATAAAGCCTAAGAACAAAATTCATTTTACAAAATACACTTTACACACATTGCCTGAAGGTAGCTTCATAAAGTATTTCTGAGGTGCCTGTTTTGGCTGTGACCTGTCACAGGAGAGCAGGTGTGCAATTTTCCAGTTGTGGCCTTGGGGGTCAATGCTCAATTTTTGGATTTTGGAATACTTCAGATTTCTGACCTAGGAATGCTCGATCTGTAACAAACTCTAAATCTCATTTAGGTCAAGACCATCTCCTAGTTCTAAACATACTTACACTGAATGGAACAACTATAACGAAACTGTAATATCCAGACTTCAGTGATTTCAATAGTTACTGAATATGAAATACGATTCAAAATGACAATCAAGAATTTGAAATTTTACATTACAAAATAGTAGAGCTTCCTAGAACACAGGAGGGGTGTAGGCATTGTGCCACAGTAGGTTAAGCTGCTGTCTGGAATGCCTGCACACCGTACCACTGTACTGGTTCAAATCTTGACTACTTTGCTTCCCACCTAGCTCGCTAATGCACCTGGGAAGCAGCAGACGATGCATCAAATACCTGAGTGCACTTGAGTCCCCACCATCCCATGCGAGACCCAGATAAAGCTCCTGGCTTTGGCATGGCTCCCTGACTGTTGCAGGCGTTTGGGGAACGAACCAGCAGAAGGAAGATCTCTGTCATTTTGTTTTTCAAATAAATAAATCTTTAAACAAGCACATACACACACACACACATGCACGCGCGCACGGGAGGAAACACACTATGCTACTGATGATTCCGAAGTGATAAACACTGACGACCGGTCAAGCTAGGCAATAGGTACACACACAGGAGCTCACTCTACTTTGGTTTCCTAAGTCAAAACAAATGAACAGAGTCTTCCAATACCAGTACTAGGAGGCTGGATCTAATCAAGCTTATAGACCAGTTTACAGAAAACATGAGAACAATTTATTAACTGATACTTTGAGATTATACATCTGTCAGATCCAGAATGTAGCAAATTCAGCTTCTAAAATGATAGCTGTGGGGCTGGCACTATGGTGCCACAGGTTAAGCCACTGCCTGCCAATACCAACATCCTGTATCGGAGTGCTGGTTCAAGTTTCACCTGCTCTGATTCTGATCCAGCTCCCTACTGATGCGCCTGAGAAAGCAGCAGAGGATGGCCCAAGTATTGGGGGCCCTTGCTACCCACATGAGAAACCAGGATAAAGTTCTAAGCTCCTGGATTTGGCCTGGACCAGTCCAGACTGTTGTGGCCATTTGGGGAGTGAACCAGCAGATGGAACATCTATCTTCTCTTAACTCTGTCGCTCTTCCAAATAAATCAATCTTTGGGG